TGGCTCAGTGGTAGAGCGCTTGCCTTGCATGCCTGAGGCCCTGAGTTCAATTCCTCAGCACCACATAAGCAAAAAGAAAAAAAAGCCGGAAGTGGCGCTATGGCTCAAGTGGTAGAGCACTAGCCTTGAGCTGAAGAGCTGAGGGACAGCGCCCAGGCCCAGAGTTCAGGCCCCACGACCAGACCCCCCCCAAAAAATAATAACATAGAGTTAGAGGTGTGGCTCAGTTATAGCACACTTGCCTAGCACATGTGAGGCTCTAGGTTCTATCTCCACTACTCCATGTTTTTAAATGAAATTTAAAAAGTAAGTAAATTTCAGTAGGCACAGTAAGCATAAAAAAGAAATAGTAAAAAGTAATATGTTTTGTGTAACAGTATAAGCAAAATAGTACCATTTCAATGTGTATTCAGTGAATGATATTTATATTCCTTTATTAATCCTAAATCTTCAAAAATCTTAGATCTGTCTTGCACTTCAGCACACCTGAGCCATATGGCAGGTGCTCAGTAGCCTTGTGTGGCAAATGCCTGCAGTACTGGCTGGAACTTCACCCAGTGGTCATGCTAGCACCCACTTCTTCCCTCTACTTGGCTGGAAGCCCAGACAAGCCCTCCCTGGCTCAGTTCCCCTAGGGAATAAACTCAGCTGGGATACACAGATACATCTTTGGTCTCCTTAGGGTAGTGTTGGCCACCAAGAGTGGCTATCTGCTTCTTATTTACACTTTCAAACATCCTTCATCTTAGTCCCATTGTTTCCTACCTCGTGAGGAACATGGTGACTGGCCCTTAAACTCCCCCCCCCCACCTTCCCCCTACCTATTCAAAGTAGCACTGCCCCATGTGGCCTTGCATCTCTGCTTTCTCCACCCTGGGATGTCAGTTACCACCCCTCTGCCAGCTTTCTTCCCTCTCCCTCTTTTCTTCCCTCCCTCCCTCCCTCCCTTCCTCCCTCCCTTCCTCCCTCCCTTCCTTCCTTCCTTCCCTCTTCCTTTCCTTCCTTCTTGCCTTGCTTTTTCTTTCTTGTCTACCAGTACCAGGGCTTGAATTCAGGACCTCACTCTCTTGCTTAGTTTCTTTGATCAAATTTGGCAGTCTACTACTTGAGCCACAACTCCAATTTCAGTATTTTGGCTGGTTAGATGGAGATAAGAGTCTCTCTGATTTGGCTACCCAGGCTGACTTCAAACTATGATCCTCAGATCTCAGCCTTCTGAACAGTTAGGATAATATAATAGTCTGCCAGTGCCAATGTTCTTGAATGTGTTGCCATCGTCCCTTATCTGTTTCCTTCCCAGTGTTTGTGCTTATAGCCTTATACCATTTCTTTGTTGTTTGCTGGAGATGGAACCCAGGATGTCACAATGCTAATCAAGTGCTCTGCCCCTTAGCCTCCACTCCCCATTTCTATTTCTTTACTGTCACGTTAGATGGAGGGGAAATAGAAATAAATGTGTAAGTTCAATTTGCCACATTTAAGCACAAATTAGGAGATGGTCTTCTATCTTTTAAATTCAGTGGTAGTTTCTCTTCTCTAGTCCAAACTGTGTTTCTAGATAAATATAGCAGTGATTGCTGGGCTTTTACAAACCAATAGCTTAATAAAATCAATATTTCTTCCACCAACTGGTTTCCTACGCCAAACCCCATAAACATGTGTGTACTTTGCAGTTCAAGAGGGTAGCACCACTACTGCCTCCATGGCTCCAAGGACCTGCCTGGGGAGGGGGATCCTGTCTCTTCTCTCATTCTCTTCAGAGGTCCTCTGGATTCCGGCCCAGACCTAACCCCCAGTGGCTTTCAGAATGTATCCCACTAAGTCTTAGCTTCTAGCACCTTTGAAACAAGCAGCTCCATGGTGATACAGGATGGCAAAAGTGTCTCCATGGAAACCAAGCCTGGCACCTGCTTAGTACCTGGGCTGGGGTAACCCATAATCCCGATACTTGTATATATGTTGAAGATCTCCTACCATTTCTGCCCCTCAGGTTCTCCGGCCATTTTTGTTGCATTATGGGCTATCACCAGGTACTTTCTGGAAGATGTTGGGTAAGCTGTTGAAAGGTAACAAGAGCATGTAGTCGGCTCTTTGTAGCACTGGCTCTGCACACACAAATTTAACCAACCTCAAATGGAAAATAAATCTTGTTTAAAATGTCTCTGCATTTGGGAGGCTGAGACAGGAGAATGGCAAATTTTAAGGCCTGATGGGGTCTGGTAACCTAACACCAAAAAAAAAAATCTGTATGGAACATGTACAGGCCTACCTCCTGTTATTTTTGCCTATGTAATACAATATAGCCAGCATTACATAACCTTTATAAGTCATTCAGAGATAAATTCTAGTTTATGGTGCATAGGTGATATGTATTTGGCATTGAAGCACTTGAACATCTGTGGATTTAGGTATCCACAAAGGGGTCTGGAACCACCCTCTGTGGGTCCTGAGGGCTGACTATGTTTGACATCATCCATTTCTTCAAACAGCATAGATACTTCTATGGGGGCTTCTTGGGAAAGGTCTGTCACTCAAATTAGGGGTGATAGGCGAGGTGTCTGGAGCCCCCTGGGTAAGTCTCCAGCTGGAGGAGTCGGCCAATGAGCCACACCTTGATTTCTGTGGTCCCTGACTGCTTTGCACTGGATTAGCTGTGCTTACATCCAATGCCAGATAGCACCTGAGGCAGGTGCTGCTGGTGGAGGAAGTACAGGGAAGGAGCAGCCGGTTGTCCCCTACCCTTCCAAGGTGGAAAAGCCCTGCAGAGCCAGACAGGCAAGGGCAGTGGCAAGCATTCTCAACTCTTGTGCCTCAATGAGAGAGATAAACCTGAGCTATAATCTTCTCTACAGGAGCCAGGTGCTGAGCACTTTGAAAGAAACCAAGGAAGTGGCGAGTTAGTGTGATCGACGAAGTCCATTTCTCAAGGGTAGAATGTCACAGCAGGTTAATAAGTAGACTAGTGCCGAGGAGGCTTGAATGGGCCTTTTGGGCCAAACTTAGCCCCATTTAATTTTTCACATGGGCTAATTCAATTAGAAAGAAATCCTGGCTGGTTGTGGTGGCACATGCCTGGAGTCCCAGCTGCTCAGGAAGCAGAGGCAAGAAGATTTGAGCTCAGAGGTTTCAGTCCAGTAGGGGTAGCACAGCAGGACTCTGTCTTTTAAAGAAATTAAAATAATTATTGTTTTAAGTTGGAATTTTCAGTCTTTCTAGAAAAAAAATCTATTAGTAAAATACTAATACTTTGTGCCAAAAACCATCTGGAACAGAGCTGCGGCTGCCTTGGACCAGGCATGTGCTCTTCGTGACCAGGTAACCACCACACCTGATCCATGTCCCAGATATCTAGGTCATGCTCCAGTCACCCAGAAATCTTACTGACTGATGTCTACCTGGGTTGGCAACTGAGTCTGCCACCGTGTGATCAAGTGAATCCTGACAGCAGCTGGCTTTGGGATCTAGGTACCTGAGCTCTGAGGCTCCCTCAGATGCACCATCAAGTGACAGAACCCTCAGCCCAACAGTGCTCTGAGCACCAGCAAGGGGCAGGTTCTAATGGCGAACTGAAGGTGGGGACTCAGGGCCACAGACATGAGGCCCTCATCTGAGGGTTGTTTCAGGGAACCTCAGAGTCTGCTGGTTAGCCTCTTTCTCCCCTCCTAACATTGCCTGTCTGTCCCTTTCCCATAGGTGTTGGGACATCAATGCCAATGCTACCATCTGGTGGGTCATTCGAGGTCCTGTGATCCTCTCCATCCTGGTAAGTGGCCATCTTCTGCTGAGCTGGTGGCCAGTGGGACAAAAGTGCCAGGAGAGGGGCTGGGAAGGTGGCTCAGTAGTAGAGAGCTTGCCTTGCATGCCTGAGGCCCTGGGTTCGATTCCTCAGTACCACATAAGCAAAAAGATAAAAGCCAGAAGTGATGCTGTGCTTCAAGTGGTAGAGCGCTAGCCTTGAGCTGAAGAGCTGAGGGACAGCGCCCAGGCCCAGAGTTCAGGCCCCACGACCGGACCCCCCCCCTCAAAAAAAAAGTGCCAGGAGGGATAAGCCACAGGCTTGCAGATGGCCCTGGAATCTCTGATTTTTTTGGTGGTCCTGGAATCTCTGATCTTTTTTGGGGGGGAGGGGTGCTGGTCCTGGGGCTTGAACTCTGGGCCTGGCTGTTGTACTTGAGCTTTTTTGTTCAAGGCTAGTGCTTTACCACTTGAGCCACATCTCCACATCTGGCTTTTTTTGATGGTTAATTGAAGATAAGAGTCTCACAGACTTTCCTGCTCTGACTGGCTTTGAGCCACAATCCTCAGATCTCAGCCTCCTGCGTAGCTTGTATTACAGGTATGAGTCCTCAGCACCTGGAAAATCTCAGCTCTTAATCTGAAGAGACAGTGGGATGGTGAGGAATGGTTAACAGCCAAGTGAGACTATGGTTTTAGAACACTGAAGGGGACAAGCTCAGGAAACAGATGCAAGAATGACCCTGGCATAGGGATTACTCAACCCTGGCTGCCAATTCCATTCCCTGGAAGCTTTCAATATGTTGATAGGAAGCTGGGTGCCCACTGCTCACACCTATAATCCTAACTACTCAGGAGCCTGAGATCTGAGGATTGTGTTTGAAGCCAGCCAAGGCAAAAAGGCTCATTAAGATTCTTAACTCCAGGTAACCAGCAAAAAGCCAGAAGTGGAGGTGTGGCTCAGGTGGTAGAGTGAAAGCTTTGAGTGAAAAGGTCAAAGAGTGCAAGGCGCTGAGTTCAAGCCTCAGTTTAGCACAAAAATTAATAAATGAATAAAAAAATATTGATAGTCAGGACACTGGTGGCTCACACCTATAATCCTAGCTACTCAGGAGGTTGAGATCTGAGGATCATGGTTCAAAGCCAGAGGAAGCAGGAAAGTCTGAGACTTTTATCTCCAATTAATTACCACAAACCTGTAAGGGAAGCTGGACTTCAAGTGTAGAACACTAGCTTTGAGCACAAAAGCTCTTGGATAGGCCGTGCCCCAAAGGCCCAAGCATATAATCCTAGCTACTCTGGAGGCTGAGATCTGAGGCTCAGGGTTCAAAGCCAGATGAAGCAGGAAAGTCTGTGAGACTCTTATATCCTATTAATCACCAGAAAACTGGAAGTGGAGCAGTGGCTCAAAGTGGAAGAGTGCTAGCCTTGAGCTGAGCCGACAAGAAAAAACAAAATAAACAAAACATATATGAATCGGTAGAGATGAGAGTTCTGTGTTCTGGGGAGGGGCCTGAGCCTGAGCTTTGTTAAGGCCTTGGTGGAGTCTGTTCTGAAACCAGGGTGAAGAGCCCTATAGCCCAGCTGTGTAGAAAGGAACAGAGTGGGGGGCAGAGGAGAGGGGATGCACAGAGGAGAGGTCTAGCTCTTTGGCTGGAACTAACATCTCTGTGCCCAAGGCTGAGGAATGAGTTGACAGGAAGTGCCCATTACAGATTGACTGACTGGCTTGGGGGTGGGAGAAGAGCAGAGGTCAGGAGCCCCTGACCCTCCCGTGCTGCAGTCACCCCTACATCTCTTTTCTGGGACTGTCCCTTGCAGAGTCCTAAAACTATCCAGCCCCACCTGGCCTGAGTTCCTCTAAAAGAAAAAACAAAACACTAGAATTCATGCAAAAGGCTACAAAGTAGAAGATGTGTTTGTTTTATTTGATTGATCAGTGTTCATTGTACATATTAGCAAGGATCAGTGTACTATTTCACCATGCATACAATTCATGTATACTGTATACATGAATCATCTTAGCTTTTTAAAAAATGTATTTGGAGCTTTCAAGAGCCTCTCTTCTAGTTTCCTACAAAATACATATTACAAAATATATTTCAGTGTGTCTGTGCTGATCCTCAGGGTCTGGTACTGTCTCTGACTTTCTTCTTGTTCAAGGCTAGCACTCTTACCACTTGAGCCACAGCTCCACTTCCAGTTTTGTTTGTTTTTAGTTTACTGGAGGTAAGAAGAATCTCTTGGACTTTCCTGCCTGGGCTGGCTTTGAACTGTGATCCTCAGATTTCAGCCTTCCAAGTAGCTAGGATTACAGGCATGTGCCATAGGCACCAGGCACAAGTGTGTGTGTGTGTGTGTGTGTGTGTGTGTGTGTGTGTGTGTGTGTTGCCAGTCCTGGGGCTTGAACTCAGGGCCTGAGTGCTGTTCCTGAGCCTCTTTATGCTCAAGGCTAGCACTCTACCATTCGAGCCACAGCACCACTTCTGGCTTTTTCTGAGTAGTTTATCAGAGATAAGAGTCTCAGAGACTTTTCTCCCCTGGCTGGCTTCAAACATCAATCCTTAGATCTCAGCTTTCTGAATAGTTAGGATTACAAGCATGAGCCATCAGAGCCCAGCTCAAAATGTATTTTTTAAAAGGACTTATGTAACTGACTTATGTAACTATAATCCCTCTGTACATCACCTTTATAGTAACAGTTTTTTAACTTTCTTAAAAGCTCAAGGAAAAAATTTAAAAGGACAGCCAGATGTGTTGATACATGCCTGTAATCCCAGCACTCTGAAAGCTAAGGCAGGAGGCCAGACTAAGATACACAGGCCCTGTGTCAGAGGGGGAAAAATAATTAACAGGGAGGTAGTGGGTAAGAGGAAGAGAAAGAAAAGATATATAAAATCTTAAGTTCAGGCCTACATGCTTTAAAAGCAGTTACTAGGGTATGAACTCAGGGCTTAATAATTATTAGGCAGGTACTCTACCACTTGAACCATATCTCCAGCCTTTACTGCTCTGTTTTTTGTTTTTGTTTTTGTCGGTCATGGGGCTTGAATTCTGGGCCTGGGTGCTGTCGGTGTGCTCTTTAGCTCAAGGCAAACACTCTACCGCTTGAGCCACAGCACCACTTACGGTTTTCTAGTGGTTAATTTGAGATAAGAGTCTCTTGGAGTTTCTCACAGGCTGGCTTTGAACCGTGATCCTCAGATCTCAGCCTCCTGAGTAGCTAGGAATACAGGCGTGAGCCACCGGCACCCAGCTGCTCTGGTTATTTTTAAGATAGGATCTAACTTTTTGCTTAAACCAGCCTGGACCTCAGTACTCCTATTTACACTTTCAACTACTGTCTAGCTGGGATGACAGACACACATCACGATGCCCACCACTTTCTATTGAGATGTAATAATTGAGAACTTTTTGTATGGGCTGACTTCAAATGGTGTGTCTCCCAATCTCAGCCTACAAGATTCACAAAACCCTGCAAACCTGAAGAATCAGTAATCTGCTTGCCAAGTGAGCAAACCCTTGAGCTTCCTTGGCTGGGGGTAAGATGGCTGCGGTTTCCAGCCATGGCTCTGAACAGTTTGTTTCACCGGGGCTCTGAGGCAGGAGCCCCAGCTGGAATGGGCTGTCCTGCATGTGTTTTCCACAATGTCTTTCCCACCCCAAAGTCCACAGGATATCAGGGAAAGCAAGAGACCTTCAACCTCTCTTCTGCCTTGTATTTTACAGATCAATTTCATCTTCTTTATAAACATTCTAAGAATCCTAATGAGAAAACTTAGAACCCAAGAAACAAGAGGAAGTGAAATGAACCAGTACAAGTAAGTATCAGGCAAAGACCTAGAGATGCTAAAACAGCCAGTCATCCGTCAGCATACATTCACTGAGCACCTACTGTTTGCTCAATGATTGATTGCCAGTTAAAATTGGAAAAGGGAGGCCCAGTTTTACATTGTAATTGGGATGGTGGGGGAGTGTATCTGATTATGATGGGATAGAGAAATTACGAACCCTCAGATGGGCAGCATGTGGGTAGAGGCTGGACCCTTGTGGGTTCTGCATGGGCTGCAGGATTTGATCCAAATCTGGTCAAATCTGTGTAGTATTTAGGGGAAAATGACCCGGACTTTCATCATATGTTCAAGGCGAGTGTGTGATTCAAAAACACTTAAAATCACCTGCTTCCTGGGGCTCACATCTGTAATTCTAGCTATTCTGGAGGCTGAGATTAAGATCTCAGATAAAGGTTAAAATCAAGATCTGAGAAACCAGTGCTCACAGACATATATGAGAGACTCTTGTCTCCAATTAACCAGCAAAAAGCTGAAAGTGGAGGTGTAGCTCGATTGGGAGAGTGCCAGCCTTGAGTGATAAAGCGAACCAAGATTTTGAGGCCTGAGTTCAAGCCCTAGTAACAGCACCAAACAAACAAAATATTTGAAACCTTTAAGATGTTCAAGAGTGATGTGTCCCCTTCCTTAGGTGGTCTTAACAAAATGCTGCAGACTAGGGGTGTAGACAATAGAAATTTTTTTTCTATTCTGGTTCTGGAGGCTGGAAGGCTAAGAACAGGGTTGGTGTGCCTCTGAGATCTCTCTCCTGCATGTGTAGGTGGCCACCTTCTCCTTATGACCCCATGTGTTGTTTTCCCTGAGCACTGGCACCCCTCATATCTCTGTGTCCACACTTCCTTTCCTTATAAAGACCCTGGTAGCTGGGTGCCTGTAGCTCAGGCCTATAATCCTAGCTATTCAGGAGACTGAGACCTGAGAATTGTGATTCAAAGCCAGTCCTGGCAGGAAATTCTGTGAGATTCTGATTTCAAATTAACCACCAAAAAGTCAGAAGAAGAGCTGTGGTTCAAATGGTAGAGTGCTAGCTTTGAGTTAAAAAAAAAAAGTGCAGGGGCTGGGAAGGTGGCTCAGTGGTAGAGCGTGTGCCTTGCATGCCTGAGGCCCTGGGTTTGATTCCTCAGCACCACATAAGC